AATTGAAAATTTGGCGAAGAATGGGATTTTGGAAAACCTAGACTTCACTAATTTTGAGATATGTGTGGATTGCATTAAAGGAAAGCAAATCAAACACAACAAGAAAGGTGCCACAAGAAGTAATGAGCTTCTTGAGATAATTCATATAGATATTTGCGGGCCACTCAACATCCCATGTCTTAGTAGTGAAAAATATTTTATCACATTTGTAGATGACTTCCCACGTTATGGATATGTGTATTTAATTCATGAAAAGTCTCAAGATATTGACATCTTTGAGGTGTACATAACTGAAGTCGAGAGACAATTAGATAGAAAGGTTAAAATAGTGAGATCAGACAGGATTGGTGAGTATTATGGTAAATATGATGAGGCAGGCCAAAATCCTGGCCCATTTTCCAAATTCTTAGAGAAAAAAGGCATTCGTGTTCAATATACAATGCTTGGTATGTCACAAAAAAATGGAGTTGCTGAAAGGCGTAATCGTATACTTAAAGATATGGTTAGGAGTATGTTAAGTTACTCAATTGTACCCATTTCACTGTGGGATGAAGCTTTAAAGACTGCAATATATGTCTTAAATAGGGTTCCTAGTAAGGCGGTCCCAACAACGCCTTTCGAGTTGTGGACTGGTAGGAAACCTAGTTTGAGACACTTACATATTTGGGGTTGTCCAGCAGAGGCAAAAATCTTCAACCCATAAGAGAAAAAGTTGGACTCAAGAACAATATCTGGATATTTCATTAGTTATCCAGATAAGTCTAAAGGGTACAAATTTTATTGTCCTAATCACAGTACGAGGATAGTGGAGACTGGTAATGCTAGATTCCTAGAGAATGGTGAAATTAGTGGAAGTGAGAAAACACGAGCGGTGAACTTCAAGGAAATTAGAGTGGATGTGCCAACATTTGACCCTTATCGAAAAATTATTGTTCCTCAGACTATTCCACAGGTTGAGGGAAACGAACAACATGATGAAAATCCTTTACCACCTTATGTTTCACCACTTCATGAAGATACCATCATTGAAAATATTGTAGAACCACCACAACTGGTAGTTCTGAGAAGATCTCGGAGGGAAAGAAAGCCTGTCATTCTAGATGATTACACTACAAGAATTAACACTTTTGGCAACAAAAAAATTGGTCGCTAAAAGTCAATTTTTGGTCGGCAAAAGTTATCCGCGACCAATTTTTTTGGTCGCTACTTTGGTCGCCAATTGAGGGTCGGCAAAAGTAATTCGCGACCAAAATTGTGGTTGGTCGGCAAAAGTTGGATTTCGCGACTAAATTTTTGGTCGCTAAATATTTAATTACCGCGACTAATTTATTTTGTCGCCAAAATACTTTGGTCGCGAAAAGTGATATTTTCCTGACCAAAAAGTTTGGTCGTCTATTGTGACATTCCGCGACCAAAAATTTTGGTCGCCAATCGTGACATTCCGCGACCAAAAAGTTTGGTCATCAATCGTGACATTCCACGACCAAAAAAGGTTTTGGTCGCCATTTGTTACTTTTCGCGACCAATACTTTTGGTCAGCAAAAGTGAGTTTCCACAACCAAGAACTGTTTTGGTCAGCAATAGATGTATTTTTTGCGACCAAAACTCTTGGTCGGCAATTGTCATTTTTTGCGAAAAAAAATAATTTATTTGTCGCAACTAATAAATTGGTCGCCAAAGCAGGAAAACAATACACCTGTAATTCCTAATAATTCATTCAATCTATAATAAACCTATAATTTTAAAGCATCATTCAAATTAACTGAATCATTAACATTCGACACAATATATAATTCATTAACATTCGACACAATACAACTATTTTAAGTTTTCATTCACAAGTCACATCCATCTAGCATAACAAATTAAAACAATACATAATTCAGATTTACAGCATCCGAAAAATTGCTTAATCCATTAAGTTGCCTTGATAGCCAATCAAAAAGATCCTTGCGCCCTTCCGTGCCACGCTTCGCATCCATCAAAGCAGTAGTGATGTAAGGCACCTAATAAAGAAATAGAATTGGAAAATTTATCAGAGAAGCATGATAGCGGCAGCAACACTGGATTGCAAACCCGTGTCTTTGCAAAAATCAATTAAATCCTATAAACGTGTACATCGTATTGAGACAACTACCTGGCATAATAAAACTGTACCTGTTGTTGTACCTACAAATTTTAGTACACGATGATTAATAAGCTAACAGCCATAACAAATACAGGCATAGTTAACTATCAAAGCTCCATTGATTCAGTTCACTTTTATATATGATTTTTTAATAAAGTTGGTAAAGTTTATTTTAACGAATAATACCACAGACTAATTAAAACATGAATGATTCTGATGTTCTTAGCTTTAAATAAGGTGGCATAACATTTGTGCCTCCTTTCCGTTCTCTTTCCCAAGACATCAAGGGAAAGCATATTCATCCATTCTGCTACCCTACCTACCAGATATGATATGAATGAATACATCTGACGAGTTTTCCTTAAAAATAATAATAGAAAACAAAATTCCTTAACCATAATCAGGGAAAACTCCAATAAAAAAAATCACATTCATTTGAGCAATCACCTTCAACATTTCAGCTACCGTTGTTAGTTGATGGATTGTCAGTTGTGTTCTTCTACTGTTCTAAGTTTACCGGGTGTATACCATCAAATAAATGTGCTTTCTTTGCTAAATATGTAAATTTTTTTTTTTTTTGGCATTAAACCCCAACCTTCTCCTGTGCACCAAGCAGAACATAGAAACTTTAAGAGGGGAAAAAGTAGTAACCTCCATTATTGAATGATCTCGTTCAGCAAATGCAGAACCAACACAACCTTGGAAAAATTTAACCTGCTTCTCCGCTTCCATATTCTGAAAAGGAAAAAATAAATAAATGGAATCAGATTACAAGGATCGATATTATGATGGCCAACCTACCCCGAAAAATATCCCTATTGGATGCCTTTCTTTGTCCCTACTGAAAACAATGAACCATAATTTTTTCAATTTAGACTCTACAAGCCAATCATTAGTTTTCATGCAAAAACAAGACCGTCTTATCTTACAAAAATAATGGAACAAAGAAACCCTCCAGGAAGTGGGAAACGTTATTGGCATAGTGTTTCATCACTTCAATCAGTATGCAATCTAAAAGAATAAACCAGTAGGCATTCTTTGCCCAAAAACCTAAGACTAGTAGGATAGCTACCATTCCATTAGTGAATAATTCATAAGTTAACTTCCTGCCAACACCTCCAATGTGAACACATGTGCTGGATGTAGAGAGAGAAAGAGAGCGCTGCCTTTGATACCTTTGCAGCATGTAAATCAGCCAACTGGCCCTGAGACAAAATAGGAAACATGTAAGATTGTTGGCAGTAGGACTACGCAAGTGCTTATAAAAATAAAAAATAACAAAGTGAAAAAAGGTAAGGAGCCTCACTTTGACACGGTAAGCTTCCGAAAGCTCCTCTTGGAGATTTAACTTCTCTCTAGTGCAAGCAGTTAACTTCTTTTTCAAGATCTCAATCTCCTGCTCCAAGCCAGCTGTCCTAATGGGGGGGATAAATTCACAATGCATTCTTATTTCCAATTTGAAAAGATAATGCCAACGCATACCTACCAAAAAAAATATTAATGATAACAACTTCATCTGATGGACTTGAGATAAATAATATACCTCTGAAAATGCATTCGAGTAGCCACAGCAAGGTAACCAGGACCAACTTGCTGCATACACAGCTGTTCAATGTCTTTACGTAACTCATCACGCTCTACAAAACAGTATCAACACATCAAATTAGAATGCAGCAGCTGAGAGGGGCAAGTGAATTAACATTATATCTAGTGAGCAACTTATAAGATTCCTGTGCATTGTATTAAGTTGGTAAACTATATAGTGCAATGCAGCACATCCTGCCACTGTCTCCATCCACTCAATTAAGAATAGGATGAAGAGACAAGTTTGGCTCAAAAGAAAACAAAATGATCAGGTTCCAAAATCAGTTATTGGAAAATATTTGGATTTCAGATATTGACTGAAGTGCTTAACAAGGATTGCACAGGGAGTAGAAGCTCTGTTTTTTGCCACAGAAATGTGAAGTATCCACAAACAAAATCAATTTGATGCAACTTAAGGGGAATATGCAATGATGGTTATAGAAATTTCAAAGATCTCTTTTCCCGTCTCTGTCATATGGATTGCATTTAAATGTAGAAATAGTGATAATGATACTACAAGAGACAAATTGAAAGCAATTGAAAATTGAACATGCAGACAGGCTAAATTAGCTAACCAACAGGTCAGTTGGCCAACCAGAGAGTGCTTTTTCAAGAAAAAGTGAATAAGGATCTGTATAATACTCCCAGGGGAAGAATTTTGAAAACACATTAAAGAGGAAAATCTCTTCAGGGAAATTTTTTTTTAGCAAAAAGCTAAGACTAGCTCTCTGACTCAAAGTTTAATGGAATCTAATTTTTGAGATGGGCCACCAAGTAAGGAGAGTAAGTAAACCCCAGAACTTCTCAGATGGGCCACCAACATCTTTGTTTAACACATTTCAATCATGCTGGAAGGTCAGTCACTACTACAACATATGACCACTCAAATTTGAAAAAATTCAAATCAAATTCTAACCAGCACTATAAATATAAACAATAATAATGAACATTCTCATCAATGTCCCCTCACAGAATGTTCCATGACCAAAATTCTATATAGGACATGTCCCATTACCAAGTATTAACCAGTCTTCATGTTTCCTCATAGAATTTTCTTTATGAAAAGGCAACTACATATTATTTCCAAAGTATTTGTTGGTAACAATTCAAAAAATCTCACTCCTACGTAACGATTTATTTTCTTATTCACTATTTAAACATTGCCATTACAATCCAAGGAAAGGAATTTTGGCTTACACAGAAGTAGTATAATCAGAAATGGAACTGTATACATAGCAAATAGGTATTTCATAAAATAAACATTAGAATATTTCCCTGACCTAAAATATGAGGAATAAAAAAAGAATAAACAACTAAAGCTTAGATGCTTTTCATGAATGAAAAAAAATAAATAAATAACCCAAAAATAAAAATTCTATTACAATAAAATGAAAAACAAAAAAACATATCATTTAAACATTTACCTTTCATGCCTTTCTTTTGCAGGCATCAACGCCCTGAGTGACCTGAGTGATTTCACGGCTGACTCAATCATATCCATCTCATACTCTACTTTCTCATTTGTCCAGCACTGCAAACAGTAGAACAAAGGTTGAGGAGCAGCATTAATTGATGTTACTTTCCAGTATTAAGACAGCTTATTACCATTATAAATGATAAACAACCAAAACAAACAGCAATAGAACCCATCATCCAATTAGTTATTCAAGACACACCGACAAGGTGTCTTGTGCATAACTCCTTTCAAAAGCAAATGCTTGAGCATCACTGGCAAAGTAGGGCTTGACAGCTTCAATAAACACATCACACAACTGGAACTGCCACCATAAATATACTGCAGTAGCAGCATCAGAAAACTCATACGAGTCCAGTGATGTCACAGTTTTTGATATGGCCTTGTTCAACACGGAGAGAATCCACTGGCAGTTAAATGGCATGATATCTGGAACCACATTTGTTGGAGGGGTGTAATTATCTCCAAGTTTGAAAACACACAAAGCGAAATTGAAAAGTTCATGCCAGATCCAAATTCTTAAGAACAGTTTTAAAATCATAGAACCCTACACAGAGGTTACATTTAATGATGTACACAGTACATGGGTGTATCATATACACACAACATACATATGATGTTAATGGAGAGTACAATTCATGTCATGAACACTACCAGATATTCATGTTTCATGAAGACCCACACCCTAAATTCCCAGCACTATGCTACAGATTCTACCAGAGTACAAAATCCTGTGCGTGCACATAGCACCTCGAGTGATGTTTTGTTAAGCAATAAAACTTGACTTAAACCCTTCACCACTTTCATCCACATTTCAGTTTAGCTATTAGTTTCAACTTGTCTTTGTAAAGAAAATAGCAATCAAGATATTATAGTCAGTAGTAAGTTCCACTAATGAGAATATATTAGATCCTTGAAAATATAGTTAGATTATGATCTTTATTTTTCGCTGCAACAGAGAAAGGTAACAACTATTTGAGAAATAATTGGTGAATTTCAAGATAAATGAGTAAAAGTAATTTATGGTCAACTTTACATAAATAATGTCAAAAGGCCAAAATAGCCATCAATTCCAATAGAGAGGAACCCAATTCAGAATCACTTTGTCCTTGTCCACTTTTGATAAGTTCAGCTCCTCTTGAAAGGATTTATTCAACTTCAGTTCCTCTAGGAGTGGAAAAGAGATCAGGCGAGAAATTTAAGACGACAAAATGTGATATTACAACTGGACATTGAAAGAGTAGGGAAGAACCTTGTAATTTTAGCTGAATATTTGCTAACTTGTCACGTTCTTTCTCAAGTTCTAAGCCCAAGTTATTTATTTCCGACTCATGAGCTACCTGAATCGCTGCCAGAGACATGTTTTTCTCTTCTAACAAATATGCAAGCTCCTAGAAAGCATTCATATATGTGTTGTCAACTTCAATCATTACGGACAAAGAACAAAAACGAAACACACTAACTAATCGACTTCAAGAGAGGAAACATGAAAAAAAGAAAAAAAGAAAAAAAACAGAAGTTGCATCATAAACACAGCGAAGTGATAACTTCTCAGGGAATATGCTAATCCCAAAATTAAATTTTAATAAAAAATATTTAATCCATACAAAGGTTCCTAAAACTAAGAAATTTTAGCAAGCTAGCCAAAAATCAATTCGGAAATTGTAACATCAGAATCCAATCTAAGACACAAAATAGGTGATACATATTCATTAACTATATCTAACATACAGCTTGCATCCCAAAGATGTAGAGGTATATGAGCCATAAGCTAGATGAGAAACTACAAGCTACACAAGAAATGAGGCTACAGATGATGTTGTCATAGATCTCCACAAAAGCATAAAGATCCCTCAATCAAATCATAATAATCAAATTGTTGAAACCAAATCTCAAATAAACAATTTTTTCTAAAACTCATGCTAAATATATTCTTGGACCAGCCAATGTGTGGCACGTAGTTTGTCAGATGGCTTTTATTAATGCTCAGCCCCAAGCTTGGTTTCACATAAAAAATCCTCCTATTAATTATATAAATTTGGGAGGAATAAGTTGCCCTTTCAGAAAATGACCACAAAGACAGAGGATATTATTAAAAGATTATCATGGTAAGGAAATATAACATAAGGGATTGGGGAATGATGAGAATGTGTTTATAAGAAAGGGAATAGAGAGGAACTGCAGTACAGAGACCAAAAAGTCATCCAGTACACGAGCATATTTTTGCAACAAATCCTATAAGTGAGGATGTCAACATCACAAGATGAGATGCTAAGGGTTTATAGGAATATGACTCATGTCCCAAGATCCACAACCTTAAAAGGGGAAGGGTGTTGAGGGACTGGTGGGGGAAAAAGTTGTTCAGAGCAACTGAAATGCAAAGAGTTTTATGTTCAATGGTCATCCCTAGCAAAAACAAGATCATCATACAACAACCATTATCAGTTGAACTAGCATGAGGTGTCATCATAAATTTATAGATCCCCCAAGATGATCTAGAATTAATATCAAGCATAATTCCAGCAGAAATGGATGAAGTTATACAAGAAAGCACTAATGGATAGCTCTTTTCAACCAAAAAAAACAAGAAGCAGGGAGAAAAAAGCTTTTCAGAAAATGACCACAAAGACAGAGGATACTATTAAGAGATTATCATGGTAAGGAAAAATAACATAAGGGATTGGGGAATGATGAGAATGTGTTTATAAGAAAGGGAATAGAGAGGAACTGCAGTGCAGAGACCAAAAAGTCATCCAGTACACGAGCATATTTTTGTAACAAATCTTATAAGTGAGGATGTCAACATCACAAGATGAGATGCTAAGGGTTGATAGGAATATGACTCATGTCCCAAGATCCACAACCTTAAAAGGGGAAGGGTGTTGAGGGACTGGTGGGGGAAAAAGTTGTTCAGAGCAACTGAAATGCAAAGAGTTTTATGTTCAATGGTCATCCCTAGCAAAAACAAGATCATCATACAACAAAAGGCTATGCCTGATGCATGCTCACATCAGATTAGATGATAGGACCTGTGAAGAAAAGTAATTACCATTAATTCCTTGCATGGCACCATTGACAACCTGCTGAGCAGCAACATCATAAACATGACGAGTAGTTGTTGCTGGACCAAACACTCTATCTGCAGCCAAAGATATATGATATTGTTCATAGGAAATCAAGGAGAACACCAACACTAATTACTGTCATGAAGAAAAAGTTAATAAATAAAATATACCCAAAGCATTCTAAACTTTAAAAACTTATTTCCACATAAGTACATCTTTTGAAAAGCAGAAGGTTTTCAATTTAGTGAGCAAATTGTTCTTCTCAACCCTACAAGGACATAAAATAGGAAAAATTATAGTAACAAAGGACTTGTAGCATGTGTGAGCCTCATTACCAAAGCTCGAAGAGCTTAACAGATAATGATGCATCGAGACAAGCAAGCATTACATGAGTCAGGAAAATTTGAGGCATGGAATTGCAAGTTGGGTATACAAATGACAAAAGATGGTGACAATTACATAATTTTTTAGTTGAATAACGAAAAATAAAGATACTTCATTGCTGATATAGATTTACACAACAAACAACACCCAATAACTTATTCCTCAACCAACAGTTTGACACCATGCCAATGTCAAGAACTGCAGAAAACCATAGACTCTGCTTCCCTAAAGGCATGTAGAACATACATTACAAAAACTAAAACATGTATGGATCAGTTGCAAATTAACTTCTTAATTTAGAGCCAATTCCCTTGCAAGCAGGTGTCTTTTAACATGTTACAGCCTATTTCCTTCAAGAACATACTTATTTTTCCAAACTATTATGCTTAGCAAATGTTCCACGTTATAGTTTATTATGAAGAGGACAGAACTCTAGCAACAATAGTATTTGATTGATATGGAAGTCTGGTTAAAGAGGAGAAAACATTGCACCAAAAGGATGTATAAAAGGGGCGAAATGGATATTCATGTCATGTCAAAGAAGTCACAATAGAATAATGTTTGCAGTAACAGAAAAGAGTTGCAGACATCTCCTCACTTGTTTCTCTCATTCAAAACCATGCATGAGACTTTCATCTCACACTGCTCCTAAGTGATAAAACAAAGAACTCGTCTTCTTTCTTTTTTGATTACCTTCCTCACGAATGTATAATAAGACCAAAGTCATTCAATTTCTAAAAAAGATTACCAATCCTTAAATACTGGTGTGTAAATACTGGTGTGTGTGTCACATAAAAAAGAAACAAACCTGGATAACACAGAGAATATCAGGGAGGTGATTTTTGGACTCATCAACAGGACCTGCATAGAGTTCAATAAATACATCAGGCATTAAGGGAGGGAGATAGACAAGCATTAATGGATAGCAAACATAACAAGTAATATACCAAGTAACACAAATAAGTGATGCACTGGAGCATCCGCCATTAATTGTAGATCATTTGGAGAATTTTTGTAGTGCGAAGCAACATAGAGGGGGGAAATTTGTTATACTATGTTGCAAAACCTCGAAAAGATTTTCTTCCACCAAAAAGCGACCTTTAAAAAAATTCAGCATACTGTGGGTACTATACTGTAGCTTCGCTAGGTATCAATGGCACCAAAAACTTGGCAGAGCTAATAAGCAGATATTGCAGCAGTCATACAATGAGGCATGGGGTCCTGGGGACTCATTTGATAATGAGACAGATCAAACTAGATGTGTCACATGATAATCAAAGGGAGAAAATTAGAAGTAACTATATCACACAACCTAAATCAGTGACATTAATTGAAATTCTAAAAAAAGCAGTATGAGATCCCAAGTCCAAGGAAAGATAATGAGTTCCTTAACTAAGTCAAAATCCCAGAGGATATGTAATTACACAACTTTTCTGACAACAAATATATGTTTTTGAATTCAAATGCATAGAGAAGCATTACCTCAATTCCACCAACAAATATAAAGAAACATACACACATACACACATAAAGATGAGTAGATACACACATACACATATAAAGATGAAGAACTACCAGGTCTTTGTTGTTCGAGATGATTTTTTCTTTTCATTTTTGTTCATTCATTAATGAGTAGATATTGGTTTTTAAAAAGATTACCTTACAACAGCGAAGTCGCATCCTGATTTTCAGAAACTGATGCAGTACCCTGAAATTCAGATTGAATTAAAGAAAATGCAATGTAAACATTGAAATTATCACACAACCTAAATCAGTGAAATTAATTGAAATTCTAAAAAAAGCAGTATGAGATCCCAAGTCCAAGGAAAGATAATGAGTTCCTTAACTAAGTCAAAATCCCAGAGGATATGTAATTACACAACTTTTCTGACAACAAATATATGTTTTTGAATTCAAATGCATAGAGAAGCATTACCTCAATTCCACCAACAAATATAAAGAAACATACACACATACACACATAAAGATGAGTAGATACACACATACACATATAAAGATGAAGAACTACCAGGTCTTTGTTGTTCGAGATGATTTTTTCTTTTCATTTTTGTTCATTCATTAATGAGTAGATATTGGTTTTTAAAAAGATTACCTTACAACAGCGAAGTCGCATCCTGATTTTCAGAAACTGATGCAGTACCCTGAAATTCAGATTGAATTAAAGAAAATGCAATGTAAACATTGAAATTATCACACAACCTAAATCAGTGAAATTAATTGAAATTCTAAAAAAAGCAGTATGAGATCCCAAGTCCAAGGAAAGATAATGAGTTCCTTAACTAAGTCAAAATCCCAGAGGATATGTAATTACACAACTTTTCTGACAACAAATACATGTTTTTGAATTCAAATGCATAGAAAAGCATTACCTCAATTCCACTCTGTAATCGATTTACTTGACTGATTATTGACAATAATCAGTCTTTACCATTACCTCAATTCCACCAACAAATATCGATTTACTTGAAGCATAGAGAAGCATAGAGAGAAAGAGAGAGAGAGAGGGGAGAGGTCCGGAGAGCTCCCATGGGGTTCGAAGCAGAAGAGAGAAGAGAAGACAGCGGCGTCAATGTAGAATTTGAGGAAGCTGATGTTGATACGCGTGGCTGTGGTGGTGGAAACCCTAGCCTTGGTGACCCAATCGAAGCACAGTGTCGCGATTCACAATCGGAAACCCTACCTTGCGAGTGGGAGGATTGCGACTTGAAGAACACTGAGAGAGAATGGGGGAGAGGCAGAAATCGAGGCTAGCGTCGGGAGCGAGCCAGCAAGAGGGAGGGTAGGAAAGAAGAACAGTGAGGGAGAGAGAGACAGAGAGGGAATGGGAGGAGACGAGTTAAACCAAATTACCGCAATCTGGGTTCGATTGATGCATCAACAGTGTGTGAAGTAGAAAATTACCCCAATCTGGAATTTTTTTTCTGAAATTCAATTCCCGCCCCACGTTTCAAATTTCCCCCCAAACTTTTGGCGACCAAACTCTCAAATTAGTCGCAAAAATAGGTTCTTTCGCCGACAAATTTTTTTAGTCACCAAATCTCAATCAACGGTGACTAAAATATTAGTCGCTAAAAGTACTAATTTGGCGACTAATTTTTTTTGGTTCCTGAAAATAAGGTTTTCGCGACCAAATTTTTGGTCGCCAAAAAATATGTGACCTTCCGCGACCAAATTTGTAGTTGGTCGGCAAAAGTATACCACTTTCTGCGACCAACATATTTTTTGGTCGCCAAAATATAACCTTCTGCGACCAATAAAATTTGGTCGCCAAAATTAATGATCATTCGCAACTAATTAATATTTGGTCGCCAAACGTTATTTTTTTGCGACCAAAATTTTTTTAGTCGGTAAAAGTGGTTGTAAAATGTGTAAATTCTTGTAGTGTTATATGGTGTATGTACAGGAATCTAATTTTGATATTGGGATTAACAAAGATCCAGTCTCATTTTCACAGGCCATGAATAGTGATGATTCTACTAAATCGGTCAATGCTATAAATGAAGAGTTAAAATCCATGGAACATAATGGTGTTTAGGATCTCGTCAAATTGCCTAATAATTGTAAAAAGGTCGAGTGTAAATGTGTCTTCAAGACAAAGCGCAATGCAAAAGGCAATATCAAATGATTTAAAGCCAGACTTGTTGCCAAGGGTTTTACTCAAAAAGAAGGCATAGACTATACAGAGATCTTCTCTCCAGCATCTAAGAAGAACTCGCTTAGAATTATCCTAGCATTGGTAGCTCATTATGACTTAGAGTTGCATCAAATGGATGTGAAAACTGCTTTTCTGAATAAGAATTTGGATGAAGAAATTTATATGGAGCAATCAGAAGGATTTACAAAGAAATGTAAAGAACGTTTAGCTTGCAAATTAAAGAAATCCATATATGGCCTTGAACAAGCTCCCAAGCAATGGTATTTAAGGTTTAATGATACCATTACCTCCTTTAGATTTAAGGAAAATGTAGTTGATCAGTGCATATATCTAAAGGTTAGTGGGAGTAAGTTCATTATTTTGGTACTATATATCGATGACATTTTGTTAGCTAGTAATGACCTTGGCTTATTGTATGAAACCAAGGAATATCTCTTCAAGAACTTTAAAATTGTCGATATGGGTGAGGCAAACTATGTTATTGGCATAGAGATCTTTAGGGATCGATTGCTATGACTATCTCAGAAATGATATATCGATCGTGCCTTGGAGAGATTCAATATGCAGTTTTGTTCAGCCGGATATTAGTTTTGTAGTTGGAATGTTGGGAAGATTCCAAAGTAATCCTAGAATGGAACATTGGAAAGTAGTGAAGAAGGTTATTAGATATCTTCAGGGAACAAAGGACTATATGCTCACCCATAGGAGATCAGAACAATTGGAAGTGATCGGATACTCAAACTCAGATTTTGTTGGTTGCCTTGATAGTAGAAAATCTACATCAGGTTTTGTTTTTCTACTAGCTAGTGGAGCAATTTTATGGAAGAGTGTGAAGCAGTCCACTATTGCTTCATCTACTATGGAGGCTAAGTTTGTGGCATGCTTTGAGGCTACAAATCATGCTTTATGGTTGCGAAATTTCATCTCAGGACTTGGTGTTGTTAACTCAATTGGTAGGCCACTGAAGATATATTGTGACAATACCGTAGTAGTTTTCTTCTCTAAGAATGGAAAGTACTCCAGTGGTTCCAAACACATGGAAGTAAAGTACTTAGTTGTTAGAGAAAGAGTCCAGAAACAACGAGTGTTAATTGAAAACTTAAGCACATCTATTATGATTGCTGATCCATTCACAAAGACATACAAAGAGCATGTTATTAGGATGGGTTTTTTAAGAAACCCTTGATGTGTATGGTTAATCGTGAGTGCTTATTTTTATTTGACACTATTTGCGCAATAATAATTTTGTTTATATTTTTCCTGTTTCTAAAAGTGTGTGTACATATTAATTTGAATATTAATAAACATAAAATGTCTTAACAAGACAAATTACAGGGCCTTTCAGGCAAATAATTACATATTCCAATAATGGACTGGGTTGGTGAAGGTTATCGATGGTGTAGTGTATAGAAGGAAATATGACATAAATGTTATATAACCGATATGACTCACATTGGTGATCTGAAGTGATCTGAAGTAATCACAGTATTGTAGTTTCTAATATATCTGAACTTATTGGTTATTTTTAAAATTCGTGATCATGTGTCAAAGTTTTTAATGTGGAATCCAATGAGTCAAAAATTTTATAAATTGCATATTTTTTGGAAAAACTCATAATTGCATCATAATCGGCTTAATGAGCCAAGTGGGAAAATGTCGGATTTATTTTCTACTGTGGCCCAATAGCCTACATATATCTACATGTTTTAATTTATTTGGACTCCACAATTAGATAAAGCCAATATTTGATATAAAGTTCAGTAATTAGAATTTTAATGTAATTGATAAGAAAGAAACCTTGATGGATATGAATTCTTCTGATAGAGTTTATTTGACCCTCTTCTCTCCTCTATATAAGGATGGGTAACTCCCCTATCATATCATGAGTATTTTTCCATCACTCTAGGTCTTATAGTCATCTTAATTAAGAGAGACAGAGAGAAGAAAGTGAGCCAAAAATTCAAAAATTAAAGATTCAACTATAAGGGTATTTTCTCAACTTCTCTAATTTAATGGCTGATTATTATGGTTATATGTATTATTAAATCTTACAGCTTCACCCTTGGCTTCCACCGGGATCAACCAGCACCTCCTACCTAACCTTCTCATGCAAGTAATCATAACATTGCCTCTACATTTTATAATTCATTGCCATGCCCATTTGCTTTCTTCAATTTGGATTTTGCATTTTATGACTGCTGGGTACTATACGTCATGATTAGCACTCCATAGTTCATTTTATTTTGATTCAGTAATGCCTGTTTCACTATATTTGTGCCACACATTGTATGTTGAAAAAAAATGAAAAACTTATATGCATTGATATTAGAGCATTTGTATTTTGATTGCACTGCATTCTCTCTGCTGAAGTATTTAAAGTATTCATTATGGTCAGTTAATGTGAATATGCATATCTCTCATGGTTTCCTTTGGTCTTTCGTTTGTTTGTTTATTTAAATCAATGTTACATTTTGAATCAAATGTTTCAAAACCTGGTACACTTTCGTTCAAAAGCTAGTAAATTTAGCGATCTAAAATTATCCCAAAAGTTTTACCTATATCTTTCTTAAAGGTTTCCTTACAGTGAAAAAATAATAATAAAAATAGAAAATTAAATGTAATAAACTAAAATCTAAAGTGAATGGATCCGAGAGAGATGAGATTAAAAAACATGGGTATGAAAGTTTATATAACAAATTTTTATATAAAATTAAAAGGTTAACCAGACAAAAAGATAAACTATGGAGTTTTGTCAAACAACCAAGCAAGCTCAATTAGTGTGAAACCAAACAAAAAGATTAAAACCATTTGTGGCTGTAGATTTTCACCTTCATGTTATTTTATTTGTGGTTGTAGTTTGTTATGTTCAATTTTATAGCAAATGGAAGCTAAAGAAAGTATTTTGTGAAATGGGGTTCATTACGTGATTAGTTGATGTGATGTATTATTTCTTTCAAAATACTTATGTGATAAAAAGTAGGGCCTGAGTTTAATGTGATCGAACATTTAGCATTTCAGGCCACACATGAAGAGATTTCTTGAATCTTTTTTCGTCACATGGATATCAATAAATGAAAGGTCTATCATGTCAGTGGCTATATGACATATTCGTTGCATAAATTATAATGTTGTCAAGATCACGAAATTCTGAACAAAGTTGTGACTCTACACAAAAATTATAGAATCGTTCTAGTGTGACCTTTGTGACAAGAAAGTATTTTGTGTATCGGATAATCTAGGATAGTGTACCTCTCTCTTGCATGCATGTGGGCTGTATCTTTGCTTTATTTTGATAAATTATAATCCATTCAACAAAATCATTTTCTTCTTTACTCATGTACTCATTTAACCTAATAAAAATACTATGGGTTATGAAATTTTACTCTGAATCTTAACTTGAAAGTAAATGTGTGATGAACTCCACGTCCATTACCGCCGTCGACAGCTCTTCCCTACCACTGCATCTCCTTCCTCCGCCGTCATCTTTTCCCGCATCTTCTCTTGCCTCTTGAAGGAGAACATGACTACTGTTTTGGTCTTCCATTAGAACAAGTCTCAATAGAAGAGGATCAAGCCCTAGGTGCCTCTGGTCTACTCCTAGGGTGTGTTTGTTTGGACAGACTGGATAAGGGGGGATTATAATCTATCGGACTGTTAGTTCTGGGATACATTATCCCTGGACTATTTGGTTGGACTGGATTTGTATCCTATGTTTGTTTAGTCATGGGATTGGATGTTTAGATTGGACTATTTTTAATAAATCCAATGTTTGGTTAGACGGACTGGATAAGGATAAATGTTCAAAAGGCTATTTTACCCTTATAATTTATAATTTTTATTTAATATATAATTTTAAATTCGTAATCTGTAATTTATAATTTATAATTTAACAACACTAAAAAATTTTAATTTATTATTTTCAATTAAATTAAATTTATAATTTATATTTTTTATTTAATATATAATTTTAAATTAACAACACTAAAAAAATAATTTATAAATATTCAAAAGACTATTTTATCCTTTTCTAACTGTTTATTAAGTAATAGCATGAAGGTAAAATGGACATTTAACACATTAGTCTCATGGGATACCAATCCCTTGGAAATAATTACACCCCTCCTCCTAGGATACAATAATTCCTCATATGAAGGACTAATAGTCCGGAGAAACTATTAATCTGCAGTAAAAAAATTAAACCAAACCATAGACTACTAGTCTGAATAGACTAATAATCCAATCTTATAAAATAATTCCTCAAAACAAACGCTCTAAGAGGCTGAAATTGGTCTCTTAGGCATCGATGGCCTAGATTTTACTGTTGGAGAAGTACCACACAATGGCATTGGATTTTTCAATTTGGCTCCTGACATGGTCACTGAAGAAGAGCGATTATAATAGGCCATGTGTGTTATTTATTCACATTTCTTTCTTTTCTTTCTCTATCTCTTCCCATATTTTTTTTGTGTGTGTATCTTATATAATTTTGCTCTCATACATTGTGAAGGTATATGATTATTTTTTAAACTGTGATGATCACCATACACAAAATCAAATTAATAATAATACAGATTATGATCAGTTAACTTGAACTTGTATTTAAATACACCTTTGCAATCTTATTAATTTTTAGTCTTACCATCAATAAAAATTAAATTAAGTTAGATTGTGATTTTTGTTAAGATTTTAATTCAATATTGCCCCTTCTAAGTTAAAATCTTAGTTCCGCCGCTACTTGTGGAGCCCATCATGAGTCTTATTTCAATGATTCGAACCGTTCATTTTGTAAGCACTCAATGTGTATCATTTATATAAAAAAAAAAATAGTCATAACTCTTTTATCTTTATCGCATTTCTCTAAGAAAATGGATGGTAAATATATTTATAAAAATAGATCATTTATTTTTTTAGAGACAAATACGACTAAATAAAAATGTTACGATTGGCATAACATTTACAATTGGATTAAAAAAAGTATATGTCTCGGCAATTTAGCAAAGAAAAAACTACTTGAATAAATAACATAATTAGTACAGATACAAATCAAACTAAAGATATTAAGCATAACATACATTTTATTTTATTTACCAAAAACATGGAAATGAAAGTTTTGCGCTAAATTATTTGGGTTCATCTAATTCGTCTTTATGGGTCTTAAGGCCTCCATATATTTCAAGTAGGCATTTCAAATAGATGCTCTAGGAAGATGCATAGCAATTTGTTTGGGCGAAAGTTTTGGAATCTCATTTTTTTCTTTCTTTTGTGGACTTAGTAATTTGAAATGTAACAATTTACAATTTTGAGCGCTATATAAATTAAACTTTTGTCTGGTTTGGGGTATTTTGAGCTTTATATAAATTGATTTTTTTAATGTTTTTATTGCTTTTCCTGATTATAATATATTCAATCTTCCCAGTTGTGTGTAGTGGTTTTTTCAACAGAAAGCTTTGAAGGTTTTATGTCAATTTTATTTTTATTTTTATTTTTTTATTTTTATTTTTATTTTTTTTGATATTTTGAGCATTATATAGACTTTAAAGGTATAATATCATTTTTGATCTTATTACCCATCCTTTATTTTTAACATTTTGTGATGTTTGATACAACAAAAAATAAAAATTAGCAAAAAACAAGTTTACTTAGACAAAAAATATTTTGTGAAAAATATTTTCTAAATTGAAGTCCTATCAATGCTAGAACACTACTACAACCACCATAACCAACACCACCAACTCCACCTCCACACCATTCCCACCACTAATACAATAACTAGTCAATTAGTATTCAAGGATGCAACAAAACATAAGAAAAACAGTTTTTGCAAAATTTCTTTGTCGAAATTCTTTTTGCCAATTTTTTTCCCCCTGATATTATTATTATTCTATTATTTATTTATTTACTTTGTTTTTTAGCCGAAACAAACTGAGCACTTAACTACAAATGTTGCAAATGGTATATACATGTACAATACATATGCTACTGGTCTGAACCCAGTTTGCTTCAACCTGTTGTAGATGAAGTATTGAGGCCAACAACAGAAAGAATTGCTTTTCCTCAGAATGCCTTTGTCCCAACTGTTGATGCACATGCTGTTTTCCTTGGATTTGCAGGTCATCCTGCAAAAAAGTTTTTTCCATGTAGCTCATCCTCATAGGCGGGATGTGTACACAAATTTTACATAAAATGGTGACCGTAATCTAAGCACAATAACATTGACGAACAACACAAACACGAATGTATCACTTCATCAGCGTCATGAAGTCGTTGAAATATCTTGAACCCATGTTCCAACTCCTATCAGTTTTCATTTGCCAAGGAGAAACACAAGATGAATTGTAAATCTCATCATATAGATACCATCTCAAATATTTCAAGAATTCCCCACAAAATGTATGAAGTCAGAAATATGATATATTTTAATAGGATTTCAGCTTCTAATAACTCATCAACGGTTTTGTCCAACAAATGTGAAAACAGATCAGAACACCTACTGGGAAAATTTTTATTACCACATAATTGACGAAATCACTAGGAAAATTTGTACATTATGCTTGTTTCTAGGAAAATTTGCATACTAAAGAAACATTACATTAGTGACTGAGCTGTTAATCTGTCTGCGATGTAAGAGTTAGACATTTGCAGCAGTCATTGCTCCCAGAAAAAGTGGTGCTTGAATGTGATCTTGCGCTGCACCATCTTCCTCCTCGTCCTCTTCTGTTTGCCAGAGGAAATTAGCATATGCAGTAAGAATGTGGCTGAAAGCAAGGAAACAAATTGACCAAAACTGTATATCAGAACAAAAACTAAACACAGGATGACATGAAGAAACTGTGATATTCTCCCTGTTTGGCACAGCTAATTGGAGCTGTTTCTAGTTTTTGTTTTTTGGAATCTATATCAGAGTGTTCAAGTTCAACTAAGTATATCTTAGTGTCAGGTGTCTTGCACCGTACTTTAGAAATTTAGAAGAGCCCATGTAATGTATAGCTTCAATGGACATGGGTCCTGAAGCACCATCCAATGTATATTTTACATTACAGGGCTAAAACTTCATTACACAGTGTGAACAATTCAATATTGTGACGGGCAATTGATTCTAACCTGTCCTCTGCTGTAGCTTGAACTGCTCTCTCAAAGTAAGACATGGCTTTATCTTGGTCATGATGAAGTTCCCACACCACCTTAGCATATTGCGAAATTATTTCTCCATCAGCAGGATCAGCAAGTACTGCACTCGAGTAGTATTGCTCAGTTCCTTGAAGGTCTCGCTTGGACTGTTAACCAAACAAATAAGTTATTGCACATGAAGAAACAAACAACTAAGCATAGTTTTATACAGATTCATATGATTAGGTCATTATGCTCTATCATGCAGTAAAAAATAAGATCCAAGTCCATATCTTCAATTACGAAAGAATTTTACCGAGAGATGTGCAATGTATAGAAACATATAGTATTTATTCATCTTCCCAATGCTTGTTCCCATGTGGTTTGGGGTGATTTCGAGACTTATACAATACATTATGTAACAAAATTTACTATTACAGGATTGAGGTTCAAAATATCATTTCAAGATCACAAACCCTGTCAAACCATATTGAAGGCCTTCACTTGACGCCCTTTTGAAGTATCAGTAATGTAAAGGCATAGATATTATCATTTCAATATTAATTTTCAATTTCATCCAAACCACAGTGAAATCCTGAGATTTGACATCTGTATGAAATATTAGGACGTCATAATGGAACTCTTCTACGCTGCACACAGTAGAGTTATAATCAATGCTTTACTTCGAAGTTCTGCGTAGAGAACCATTGCTAAACACATGAAGAAATTCTGCGAGACTTTTCTACATACGTATATATATATATATATTTTTTTGAAAGTTAGAAAATAGTCCGAGTTTATCCATCATACTTCATTCTTTGGCAGCTCACTCTTAGAACTGCAAATGCTCGCTGCCTGAGATGTTCACTTTGTTTACTGTGGCTCATGTATTTTGAAATATGGCTTTTAAACATGAGAAGCTAAATGGAGAGAGAGAGAGAGAGAGAGAGAGAGAGAGAGATCTCACATGATAAAGGAACTGAGCATAATTTCTCAGGAACAAACGGTTGCTAGGGTTTTCCTCTACCATCCTCATGTAATAATCCACCGTGTTTCCACCTTTGCCAAAATCTGCTGCATTACAAGCAACACCATCAATGCCTCCAACAACAGCTACGTCAATCCCCACCCCTATCGCAAGATGTAATGAAGGGCTAACTAGCTCTTTTTCTTCTTCGAAAGGTGTCTTCTGAACTTCAACGAGAACTTTATCATCTTCTTCAATCTGTCATATATCAAAGGAGCATTAGTCTCATTCCAAAAAAAAATATGAGTCTAGTAAATCCAAAACTGTTATGTAGAGAAGCACCTGAGTATGATCATTCACAGAACAATCTTCTTTGTCTTCCTTTATTTCCCAGAGAAAACAAGCATAGTCTGCCAAAACGTGACTGGAAAACAAGAAATGAAATGTTAATTTTAGTAAGTATTAATTAACTAGACTGTTCCCAAGTGGGGTTTGCTATTGTAAATCAAAGTATAAAACATGCAACGGAATAAAATGTTTAGATCATACCTTATTTCTCTCATCTTAATCACCCATAACCCATATACCAGATATATAATATAATATTATTATCTATCCATATTAGTTAATGGAGATAATATCTATATCTAGAGTGGTTATCCTAAATAGGTTTGAATTCAATTTCAAAACCTATTTGGATAAGATTCAAATTCAAATTCAAATGGTCATGCCACATGGGCGCCCATTACTAACATCTCCCACTCGCACATGAGTTGGCATGACACTGCCACATCTCTATCTCAATCTCCCAAAAAAAAAAAAAACAATCTCATACTAACCAATGCACCGTGCGATTCCTGAAAAACACCTGCATGTGAGAGCTCTATACTAGAAACTCAAAAATGAGCCAGCATAGAGACATCAACCCAAAAAGAATAGAAATAGTGTCTCATATACCCCAGACCCATCTAATTACACCGGTCCAAAAAACATCTCTAATTCCTCAAAAGGAGCATGTTTGACCCTCTTAATTCTTGCAATATATTCACACTCAATTCGCCTTTCATACAGAGCGATGTGAGTTGCCTGCAGTGAATATACAACAGTGGTGTAATACTAGATGATCTTCCCTTTGCACTCATGACATTTAGTTTAGGATTGACCGCTTTCCCAGTAATGTCCCTTAAGGTTGAATCATGCATGACCGCAGGCAACATACCAATGTAGCAGAACATCAACCCCTTACCTTATGACATAGTCAAAAGTCACAAAAGGGTACATAAATGAAAGTCATATCAATAATGACACGTAAGACTCACACGGTGAGGAAGCAGGGATCCATTCTCTCACCTCATTACTAGGTCGCTAAGCACATATAGTATGAATACATGCTACGGTGGAGTAACTCTTCCATAAAGAGTGACGTCATACTCGATACACCGTACAAATATTAGTCTAGTCGCTTTCTAGCGCCTAACCCGAATTCTCAATTTGCTCACCTTCCAGGCGCCAAATGAGATCTCGCATCTGGCTAATCATAACAGGCACAACATGGAAAGTGGGTACTAACATCCATGTTTGGTCCTAACAACAACCTCACTCCTCCTCTTCCTCACCCTATACCTATTTCCTCCATTACTATTGATTTACCTCCTCCTTCTCTTCCTTTCTCCGTGTCTAACATACATCCCATGATTACTAGATCTAAACATAAACTTCCTCACTGTTTTTCTGCTAAAGTATCTCTTCTTGAAACTGAACCTACATCTGTTCATGATGCTCTTCACTCTCCTGTGTGGTTTCAAGCCATGCAGGAAGAATATCAAGCTCTTCAACAACAAGGCACTTGGGACCTTGTTCCTCTTCCTTCTCATAAAATTGCCATTGGGTGCAAATGGGTTTTTCGCATTAAAAGAGATTCCAATGGTACTATTGCTCGTTATAAAGCTAGATTGGTGGCCAAGGGATTTTTACAACAAGAGGGTATTGATTTCCATGAGACTTTTAGTCCCGTGGCTAAACAACCCACTATTCGAATCTTTTTAAGTGTTGCTCTTCAATCTCAATGGTCTATCAAACAGCTTGACATCTCCAATGCATTTCTTCATGGTACTCTTCAAGAAGAGGTCTATATGCTGCAGCCTCCAGGGTTTGAACAATCTTCTACTCATGTTTGCAAACTCAAGAAGGCCTTGTATGGTCTCAAACAAGCCCCTAGGGCTTGGTACTCCACTTTTTCAACTTTCTTACTTTCTCAAGGATTCACCAACAGTCTGTCTGATGCCTCTCTTTTTATCAGAAAAACTTCTACAAGTCTCACTCTGCTCTTGGTGTATGTTGATGACATCTTATTAACTGGTGATGATTCTGCTTTCATTGATCTACTTCTTCAACACATGCACCAGTCATTTTCCATGAAAGACCTTGGTTCTTTGTCTTATTTTCTGGGCATTTCAGTTCAGTCTGATGAGCATGGTTCCTTTTTATCTCAAGCTAAATATGCTGCTGCATTATTGCACAAAGCTGGAATGGCCGACTGCAAACCATGTTCCTCTCCTATGGTTGTTAAAGCTGTGTGTTCTACAACTGATTCTCTGCCATTTGCTCAGCCCTCACTATATCGAAGTTTGGTTGGTGGCCTGCAATATTTGACTATTACCAGACCTGATCTCTCCTATGCTGTTAATCAAGCATGTCAGTTTATGTCTCTCCCTACTAATGCTCATTTTCAAGCTGTTAAGAGGCTCCTTAGATATGTTAAAGGGACTCTCCATTATGGTCTCTTTTTCACCCCAAGTTCATTTGCTCTTTCTGCCTTCTCCGACTCTAACTGGGCCAGTGATAGTCTTGATCGAAAATCAACCTCTGGCTATTGTGTATATCTCGGCTCAAACTTGATTTCATGGTCCGCTAAAAAGCAAGCAACTGTTTCTAGATCATCCACTGAAGCTGAGTATCGAGCCTTAGCTCATGCCACAGCTGAGCTCACTTGGATTCAACAATTGCTTAAGGACTTCTGTGTCTCATCTTCTACTGTTCCTGTTATATGGTGTGGTAGTTTATCTGCCATGGCCTTAGCATCCAACCCTGTTTTCCATTCACGGTCCAAACATATAGAAATCGATTGTCATTTTATTCGGGAAAAAGTGGTTGCCAATCAGATTGCACTTCAGTATATTCCTACCATGGATCAGGTTGCTGATATTTTCACAAAGCCTCTTTCGCCTTCCAGATTTCATTACCTTCGTGACAAGCTGCTAGTGGTTTCTTCCCCTATCCGCTTGAGGGGGGCTGAAGAGGTATCATCCTCTGCTCACGGACATCAGTCCTCTGCTCACTACACTCAGGTTTCATCACCATCTGCTCATGGCCAGCTGTCTTTGTCTGTTAGACCTGCACCATCACAGATCTGTAACTCTAGTGGAATTAGTTGTGGTGGTTAGACTAGTTTGTTATGAGTTAGTTAATTTGTTTAGAGTTAGTTTCAGATTAGATACAGTATATAAACCAATGTACCCAACAGATTTGATATAATGAAAATATAATAAGTTTCCAAGAATCTCATCAAAGAAACTATGATATTCTCCCTGTTTGGCACAGCTAATTGGAGCTGTTTCTAGTTTTTGTTTTTTGGAATCTATATCAGAGTGTTCAAGTTCAACTAAGTATATCCTAGTGTCAGGTGTCTTGCACCGTACTTTAGAAATTTAGAAGAGCCCATGTAACGTATAGCTTCAACGGACATGGGTCCTGAAGCACCATCCAATGTATATTTTACATTACAGGGCTAAAACTTCATTACACAGTGTGAACAATTCAATATTGTGACGGGCAATTGATTCTAACCTGTCCTCTGCTGTAGCTTGAACTGCTCTCTCAAAGTAAGACATGGCTTTATCTTGGTCATGATGAAGTTCCCACACCACCTTAGCATATTGCGCAATTATTTCTCCATCAGCAGGATCAGCAAGTACTGCACTCGAGTAGTATTGCTCAGTTCCTTGAAGGTCTCGCTTGGACTGTTAACCGAACAAATAAGTTATTGCACAAGAAGAAACAAACAACTAAGCATAGTTTTATACAGATTCATATGATTAGGTCATTATGCTCTATCATGCAGTAAAAAATAAGATCCAAGTCCATATCTTCAATTACGAAAGAATTTTACCGAGAGATGTGCAATGTATAGAAACATATAGTATTTATTCATCTTCCCAATGCTTGTTCCCATGTGGTTTGGGGTGATTTCGAGACTTACACAATACATTATGTAACAAAATTTACTATTACAGGATTGAGGTTCAAAATATCATTTCAAGATCACAAACCCTGTCAAACCATATTGAAGGCCTTCACTTGACGCCCTTTTGAAATATCAGTAATGTAAAGGCATAGTGTATGGGTGATTTTCCGACCACACTGCCCGCTTAGTAACCAGCTGGAGAGCACTGGCAGAATAGATGGCACCTGACTGACCTGCAACAGAAATATAAAAATCCCGCGGTGGTTTCGACCACCCGGGGGCACTCCGACGATCAAGTCAGTATATCTCTCAAAGATAAATCAAGTACTAAACTCACAAGCTTGAGTATCAAAAGCATACCTTAGACCCATGGGGGTGCCTCTCTTTTATAGCCAATACAATCCTAGTCCCAAAAGGAGCCTGGCCCTAATGGACTTAGGATTACTGCTAATCTGGAACTCCCAGTGAATTTAGGATAAACTCTCTAAGAGTCTTATCTTTACCCAAACTGAAGTCTTCTCCCAATCTAGGACTCTTGTCCTTATCCAAGTTGAGTTCCCTCTTCATTCTAGGACTCTTGCCCCTTATCCGCTTATCTCGGATTCCGATATCTTCGGAGGCAACCTCGGCCTAGCCGAGATCACCTCGGCGTCACGACCAGGACACGTGGCACCTCGGCTGACACATCGGCGTCACCTTGCCACGTGTTGGTACTCAGAAAATATATCCTCATAATACAAAATAAATTTAATTATCAAAGTTAATAGTGTTGTTGACACCACAAATTAATTTCTGTCTATTATGACCCGTTAATCGACCAAATCTAATCTAATTAATTGTGATCGGTCAATCTCTTGAATTTAGATCATAAAATTATCTTTTTTACAAATAAATATGGTCACGTTTAAATTTATTATTATTATTATGTTGGTGTTATTGTTGTTGTCTAGGCACTCCTTGGTGACAAGTTGAAAGATGAACACATGTGATTTTATACTAAGAATGTGGGTTGATTCAAGGAACTGTGGGTTGATTTTTTATTTATGAACTACTTTGAATAATTGTTTTGCAAAACTGCTTTGGGCAATTTTCACTTGAAAATATGCCTATAAAAGGCCATGGAAGATACAAGAGAGACTTTTAACCCAATTCATAATTTTGTGAAATTTAGGAATAATTTAATATATCTAGGAATAGTTAAGTATATATATAGATTAATAGTTAGTTTTTATAACCAGTGCTTTTGTAACCCTATCAATTGTAATACTTGATACTAATAATTTAATTCTTGTAATTAAGTGACAAATTTGAGTGTTATTAATCAAGTTTCAGTGGTTGTTTTATTATGTTTTCCCACATTACAACCTCTAAAGAAATTTTTAAAACTACCAAGATAAAAAATACCAACCACATTGCCTAATTTGTTGGTTATTTATAAAAACTGATTTTGTCTGTAGATTTACTTCAAATCAAATTTTTGCTAACAAGTGTACACCACTTTTTCATCACTCGAAGAGAGTTAATATATTTATGTCAAAATTATATGGTAAATTCTGCTATACACACCACTCGAAAGGAGTGTATTATATGCACCCCTAGTTATGTCATTTTTTTCTTTAATTATAACCAATTTTTTTTATTTAGTTATGACATTATTTTAATTATAACTCATAAAATCTTTGGTTATGTCTCATGTGATGTTTGATTATGATTTTTTTTTCTTTGTATTTATGACTCAAAAAATATGAAATTATATTATTTTCTTATTTAGTTATAATTTACATATGATACACACCTATATATATTTTGATATATACTGTAGTGATCCCAGTTTTGCCACTTCGCTGTGTATGTCGGGGGTCAAGCTGCCCTGTCAGCTCGCGGGGGTCTAGAGGGCAGCGCCCTGGCGAGGGTCAAGCTGCCCGGTCAACTCGCGGGGGTCCAAGGGGCAGCGCCC